CTGTCCTTCTCCGAAGCTGCCTCCAGCAATGCTTTGGCGATGTTTTCCACTATGGGGCTATCCCATTTGGACTGTTTGCAGTCATTTGGAAAAGTCGGTCGAGAGTGAGAGTTGACAAGAGTGTCCCACTGACTGGTTCCTTCCGCGAATTTGGGATCATGAATCCCAATGGAGTTTCTTAGGTATTCCGGTAGTATTTCCTTAACTAATTCACCTGTAGCACTGGTCGAGGATAAGAATTCCGGCATTGCTAACTGTGTCGCCTTGCGAATACCTATACCCCCGAGTCTAACTGGGAGCATTGCTTGGTCCCATTGGTCATCTTGCAAGGAGAGATTTAACACTTTCACGGTTATTGGCCTTAAGAGTAAGTCATATTCCGTTAATTTTGGGCTGTCGAAGTTGGGAGCACACCTTAGGAAGTAGGTCAGTGTGGGCAAAGCCAGGCACCTTGTGAGAAGGTACAAAGCATCGTGGGCGTCCAAAGCCCCTATTCTTCCCTCCGTCCTCCTCAGGTCGTTCAGCTTTTCCTCGAGGACTACCTCAATGGCGCTCGAGCCCAGAGGTGCCCCTATCAGCACACTGTCGGTGAGAGCGATCACTGGGGCTCGTGGCAGTATGATTCGTACTGCATCTATGATTGGTTGGCTAGATGAGATGATTTTACACTTTGATGGGTTTAATTAAAGTGAGTCCTAACTCCTCTCCCTTAGATTTCTCCAGCTGTAGATTTTCTAGCAGGGACTCCTGTGTCCCTGCCAGGGTGCAATCGTCCAGGAACCAGATGTTGAGTTCGCTGGTCAACCTGCTTGTGACCTCTTTAGTTGCCATGCAAAAAAGGAAAGGGGCAAGCCGGTCTCCCTGCTGGACACCTGCGGAAAGAATTTCATGTTCCCCAAACAACAGCGTCGATTCCCTACTGTACCCTGCTGAGACGAAGGGCAGTAGACAAGGAAAGCGTGTTCGAACCGCTTCCAGTACCACATCCCTTTTTACCTGGTTGAAGGTATTTTTAAAGTCTAATTTAATTAATGCCTTATTGTCTGCGAGGTGCTTAATATAGGCTCGTACTACACGAGCTGCTGCTTCACAGCCATGGGGGACACCAAAACCTAGTTGATGGGGTCGAAGCATCGTTGCAGCGGCTATGCTAATTTTTCTGACAGCTGCCATAACATCAAGGCGCCGAAGTGTATTACTCACGGTAATGGGTCCGACTCCACCATCTTTCTTCTTAAGGGCACAAAGGGATGCTCCGAAGAAGAAGGGTTTAATTGTATCTGGGATCAGCTCAGAGAGGCAGTCGCTGACAAACTTCGTGACCTCTGACAATAGTGTCTCGGCAACTTCGCCGAGAACTGGATTTACCATCTCCTTGAGGTGCTGAGGTGTTACTCCAGTGTATCCCCCTGCTGAGCCTGGTGGGAATGACATGATGGCTTTGTATACCTCTGACGCTTGGAGGAATAGAGGTCCCATGTCTGGGACATTTGTGTCCCGAGCAATTGGTTCCCATGGTACTCTAGGAGGGTGCGTCTCTCTCAGTGAGTCGGCGGTAGCGGGATTTCTAGGGACGATTGTATCTTCGCTGGTAAGTAACCTAATTGCTCCTACTGTGTTGCCCTCTACATTTTCTTGGTCACTTGTGTTTCTAGTTTAAAATTGTCATTGGAACTCTTGGGTCTGCAACGGTGGCTTTTGCGTTGAGGAGGGATGGGGATCAAGTTGTCAGCTCTGGGGAAATTATTTATTGCCCTAGTGACTGATGAGGCTAGTGACTTGCGTCCTCTTGCTGGTACGCCTAAGCAAATATTGCCAAACAGGAGCAAATTATGAATGCTTTGAAGGTGGCCGTGGTATTAAGATTTGCAGACCGTTCATTCACTTTCCTTAGAAGGTCTGTATATTTCCCTGCTGCCAATGGGCGCGCTGCTTTAAGAATGTGAGGAAGAGTTCTGGTGGTGGATGCTTTGATGGCCCCCAGGAGGTCATCTGATGACATGAAGTTTGCTGGGATGTGTGGGGGTGCCGGGGGGACCTGTGGGCCTTCTCTCTCTACAGGTTCCGTCCATGAACCCTCACAGTTTTGTGTTGACGTAGAGTTCCATCGTTTCTAATGCATTTAGATTCGTCACACACCCGACACGTTCCTCTACGTCTGGGTCCTCTGTTTGCACCTCTGGGTGCACAGTTCCCAGGACCCTGTTCATGGCTGAGATATATATATATCTCAGCCAAGATATATATATATATATCACAGATATATGTATATGTATCTATATATATATATATATATATATATATATATATATATATATATATATATATATATATATATATATATATAAGAAGATCTCTTCCCACATATATATATATATGTGGGAAGAGATTATATGTTCATATAACATATAATCTCTTCCCACAACCAAACCATCGCCAGAGAAATCCTAGTAAACAACACAGAAATCATCGATAGATACAGCGATAGCAGGCGGCTTGACGTTTGCGAGGCACTACACATCAAGAAGTCAACACCAGCAATCAACAGCCAATTATTGCACAACTATATTCTACCCACCTCAAGACTCCGCTCCAATATAGAAGCATCAAGAAATATGGACCAATAGGCTTTCTACAAACACTTCTATTCAATATCCATTGTTTCGTGTTCTGTCTTGTGTTGATGAAATTAATACCCTATTAATACTCTTGTTCTGTCTTGTGTTGATGAAATTAATACCCTATTAATACCACACTTTGTTCTGTCTTGTGTTAATGCCACATCACCCCTTCCACCTCACTCAAATGTAGATATAAAATCGGAGATACGTAAGTTCTATTCAGTTGTGTATTTGTGAACTAAAGTCTTTGAAAATGTAATAAGTTTTACGAAACGCGCCCGTGTCGCGTCAGACTAGAAATAAAAATGAATTTTGGAGAATTGATTTTTGATTTACCTCCAACAGTGAAGCGTAATGTACGAAAGATTGAGAAAATTCGTGTTAGAATTATTAATCTTACTTTTTCGGTCATATTTAATAATATATGTCTACAGGAAAGACTGCTACCAAAATATACTAATATATATATATATATATATATATATATATATATATATATATATATATATATATATATATATATATATATATATATATATATATATATATATATATATATGTCGTACCTAATAGCCAGAACGCACTTCTCAGCCTACTATTCAAGGCCCGATTTGCCTAATAAGCCAAGTTTTCATGAATTAATGTTTTTTCGTCTACCTAACCTACCTAACCTAACCTAACCTAGCTTTTTTTGGCTACCTAACCTAACCTTACCTATAAATATAGGTTAGGTTAGGTTAGGTAGGGTTGGTTAGGGTCGGTCATATATCTACGTTAATTTTAACTCCAATAAAAAAAAATTGACCTCATACATAGAGAAAAGGGTTGCTTTATCATTTCATAAGAAAAAAATTATAGTAAATATATTAATTCAGGAAAACTTGGCTTATTAGGCAAATCGGGCCTTGAATAGTAGGCTGAGAAGTGAGTTCTGGCTACTAGGTACGACATATATATATATATATATATATATATATATATATATATATATATATATATATATATATATATATATGTATATATATATGTATATATATACACACACATACACACATATTCACATACATACACATACATTTATGTCTCTCCTACTTTGACAGGGGTAAGGTAGCTGTTATGAAATCTAGTGCGCTATTAATCACATAACCACTGAGAGTGATTAAGGTGCTTTTACAAGCTCAGGTTATAGTTACGTCACATTGTAACATTACACACATTGATGCATTACATAATCAATCTTGGGTACAAGTCTAATATATCATCAAGTGTTCCAATATTCAAATAGTGTTTACATAGTTCACCATACCTCAGCCCAGGAGGGCGAAAGTCAGTCAATATAGGACATTCTACAATATAATGTTCAAGGTAGAGCATGTTTTCTCTTTCAGAAATTAGACACATTGTGTATTCTAGACTTTCACAAAGTTGACACATGGTGTATTCCAGACTCTCACAAAGTTGACACATGGTGTATTCCAGACTCTCACAAAGTTGTCGCATGGTGTATTCCAGACTTTCACAAAGTTGTCGCATGGTGTATTCCAGACTCTCACAAAGTTGACACATGGTGTATTCCAGACTCTCACAAAGTTGTCGCATGGTGTATTCCAGACTTTCACAAAGTTGTCGCATGGTGTATTCCAGACTCTCACAAAGTTGACACATGGTGTATTCCAGACTCTCACAAAGTTGACACATGGTGTATTCCAGACTCTCACAAAGTTGACACATGGTGTATTCGACATTTGGATTTTGAAAGAGCTGCCAGATACGTGTATATCCCAGGCGTATTTTGGCCACTATAACACCACATTGCCGAGTTCTTGCTCTATTACTTCCATATGTGAATGTCCCCTCACGAGATTTATCATAATGTTTAATGCTACAAATTTCATGTCTTTGTGAATTTGTTTGGTCGGTTAAATTATCATTAGATATTTGTTTAAGTATTCTCTTTGTCACTGCTAATGAAACACCCATATCAATTTCTAGTACTGGTCTACTACAGGCTGTCTTTGCAAGCATATCAACAGTGACATGCCTTGAGATGCCATCTTGTGATGATATCTAAAGGAATTTAACATGTATATTTAATTCAAATGTGTTTTCTTTAGCAGCTAAAACATTCATTCGAATATCACCTATTATTTTCTGGGTGTTACTACTATGTGCGTTCAATGCAGGTGACTACATATGATGTAGTCTGCCATCACCCACCTTCTTATATCACCGACTTATTACCGCCACTTATATCCATCTTGCCACTGCCATCACCGACTTATATCCATCCCTTGGTGGTGACTACATATGATGGAGCATGCCATCACCCACCTTAACATCACTTATATATCCATCCCCCAGGTGGTGACTCTCCAGACTATGGAGTCTGGCTTCTCGCACCCCAACATCACCGAGGTGGTGATCCCCGTTGGGAGAACAATTATAGGCAGCAGGTTTGGAAAATCCAAGGACGCTGCAGGTTAGTGAAAGGCTTGGTAACAATGTAGTTTAAACCATCTTTTAATTAGCAGGATAATTAGAGAGACAAATTAGGTTGTTAACCTGATCAGTATATTGTTCTGGCAGTAAAATACTAAGTAGAGTTGTTTATGGGGCTTCTATTTGCACTTGTTAAGATTACTAGAATACTCATCAATGTTGTGGTTGGGCGCACCTACAAGTGTTGTGATCATTAAAAGAGAAACATGGTTTCCAGAGTCCTTTTCTTATTATTATTGTCAATAAACTTGGCAATATCTATTGCTGGGAAGTTCCTTGCAGTTAAGGTTATTAGAGTAGCAAGTAAGGTTGTTGCTGGAACTGTGTTGCACGAGTAAGTACTAACACGGTGGTGTGTGGGTGCTTCAGGAGCACTGGCGCTCCTCGAGGTGTTCCTGGTGCCGCTCGTCTCCAGGTTCTACTCCTCACCCACAGTCATGGAATACTACCGGAGAAGAAAGGAATTTGATGTTGTGATCACAAATCACTTGTTTAATGAGGTAATTTTAATACTATAATTGATCTATTATATATATTTTCTTCCTGTGACTTTAACACTTCATATGATATATTCTAACATTAATTAATTTTTTAAATGTTTCCTGATTTGAATATAATTATTGCAATTGTTAATAATACCTATTGAAACAACAAAATATTTGTCAAGGTGGTTTCAAAGTGTTATATATTTTATGATATATAAATATCCATCATCAATCAGACCATCTAACAGATTATTTATTCTGGATAACTGGTCATATATTATGCTCGTAGCAATAACAATAATTTACATGGGATACACTTTTCATCTATTATATATTGGGCAGACGAATTAAATCGTATCAAACTGATTTAGAATGAATGAACATTCATCAGTAAGCTAAACTGTACAAAATCCACATATCTCTAGAACAAACCCTTCGTTGATGAAATTATTCCATAATAATAATAATGTTAATAATAATAATAATAATAATAATAATAATAATAATAATAATAATTATATAATTTGTCATTCACACTTCCGTGGAAATATAGTTTTCATTCACCTGGGATCTAGGAGATGCGAAACACGGACCCCAAGCGCGTGAGACTGAGGCTCTAGCCACCGAGTTATGAGTAGTCTTAATAAGGAAAGATTCCAGAACCAAATACTGCTGTTATTCTGGAATTTTCAACTTTCCCTGACTACTACTACTGAAGCTCAGAGGAATTAGTGATCCACGCCCAAGTCATAATTTGTCAGACACTCTCTCGTGGAAATAAACATTTCATTCTCATGGGCTCCAGGAGACTCGATAGAGCTTCTGCCTCACACGTGTGGTGTTCGTGGTTCGAATCTCCTAGATCCCAGGTGAAGGACCCCTTCACCTGGGGAATGCATGCGGAATCCATATGGCGGGGGAATAAACAAGAGAAGCGAGGCTAGTGAATGTTATAGACAAGAACCTCTTTAAACTGCATGTGAAGATAAAGAGGACGAAATACACGAAGTTTATTAGATATGATCTTCACCCAAAGTATGGAAGATATGAAGAACGTGGAACCTTAAATGATCACTATGAGCCAGTGATCATTGAGTCCTAGTCATTGATTATATGATCAAACTTTAAACTATGGCCACGGCTAAAGGTATCATGGAAAAGAGAGTTGACTATTGAAAAGGGGGATTACATAATAGAGTATCTGCGAAATGTACAATGAGAGGAAGAACTTAGAGGGAAAACAGTACAGGAAATGATGGACCAAGTCAAATTGAGATTCAAGGAAGTTAAAGCGCTTCATACCAACAATGAGGCAAAAAGTAGGAGGGAATATAATAACCCCATTTTTAATAGACAATGCTAAGAAGCAAAAATGAAAAGCAGGAGGGAATGGAGGAAATACAGATGTCAAAGGACAGACGAAAGCACGAACAGCGTCAGCAGAGCTAGGAATGAATACATAAATATAAGAAGAGTATCTTTAGGAAATTACGAGAAAGATATTGCTATGAAAGCAAAGAAACAACAAAACTACTACATAATCATATAATAGGGAAATTGACAGTGAACGATCAAATGACAAGACAACGAAAAATGGGACGGGGTATATACGGAAAATGATTAGGAAATTTGCGAAGTGCTAAACACCAGTTTACATGTTGTGTTCTCAACCGAGTCTGAGCATCTCCCAATGTTAGATGAGGAGGTGAACTTAGATGAGAGATATTGAGGTGTTGGCAGAGGAAATAGAGAAACAACGAGCATCACTGGACAAAACTAAAGGAATTGGACCAAACAACGTATCACCGTTGACATTAAAAAAGGCAGCACAGGTCTTCGGAGTACCTCTAGCAAAGATCTTATTGAGTCTCTGACAAAGAGACAGTTGTCCGGCTGCTGGAAGAAGTCAAACGTTGTACTAATTTTCAAGAAAGGAGATAGGGATGAGGCACTTTACTTCAGACCAGTATGACAGACAAACATCTCTGCAAAGTATTTGAAAGAATAATCAGGTTAAGACTAGGTACAGATTTAGAGAGCATTAATATATAAACAAACCCCATGATGGCTTTAGGGAAGGAAAATCATGCCTAACGAACCTACTGAAGTTTTATGATAAAGTAACAAGAATAAGGCAGGCCAGAGAAGGTGAAGGGAAACTGCGCAATTCTTGTGTTTCCAAACCTAATTCCAGAGATTCATATACATAGGGTAACATAAGCAGCATACTCTACATTGGCACAAGTTTCAAGAGTCTTTATAAACTTAAATGAAGAGACATTTAGATGAGAGAGAGAGAGAGAGAGAGAGAGAGAGAGAGAGAGAGAGAGAGAGAGAGAGAGAGAGAGAGAGAGAGAGAGAGAGAGAGAGAGAGAGAGAGAGAGAGAGAGAGAGATGTGATTGCGATGCATAAAATTCTTTGGGGGATTGACAGAGTGGAAATGTTTGCAAAAAATACCAATAGATCAAGGGGGCATGGGTGGAAGCTTGAGACTCAAACGAGTCAAAGAGATGATACAAAGTTTTCATTTAACATAAGAGTTAGGTGAAAACGGAATTAGCTAAAGGTAAAGGTTGTTAAAGCAAACTCCTTTCATAATTATAAAAATAAACATGATAGGGAAATAGGTCAGGTGCCGTTGCTTTAGACAACTGACGGCTAGAAGATGGGGTCCAAGAACTAATACTTCATCCTGCAAGTACAAATAGATGAGTAAAAATAGGTGAGCTACACACAAACACATTTATACTCTTTCATACAGTCCTTCAATCAACACCCCAAGAAATACACAGCGTGCAAAAAGTAAGTGCTACAGAAATTATCTACCACTATCTGACTTCCAGATGGCCTACCCCTTTGCTGTGGGAATGCCCTTCATCACCCTGACCACCAATGGCGTGGAGCCCCGTCAGTGCGCCGTCTTAGGGAACGTGCTTAACCCAGCTTACGTGCCCAGCGAGTACTTGGACTACCCCCGGCCTTACTCTCTCCTTCACCGCCTCCACAACCTCTACACCATCCTCAGTGTTGCAGGATACTGGCGTGTGTGGGGGATGATGCCCAAGATACAGAGAGAGGTTGGTTGACATATTTCAGAGTGAGCTGTGTGGGATATATTTATATGTGTACACTAGCTTAGTTGTGTTTGCAGGATCGAGCATATATTACTATATATTGGAAACATTCTTTCTTATAGACATGTATTATTGAATATGGCCAAAAGAGTTAGATCATTTGTTCTAGCATGAATATTCCTAGTATTACTTATGATCTTCATATGGGAAGAAAGTTGACAAACCAACTCTGCAATGTTCATGGCCTGGTGCTTATCACTGAAGGCTGTGACGGTGAAACTGTTCAAGATCTACCGAGGCAGAAAAAATTGTATACATGTTTTCTCTCTCTTATTTATAATCAGTTAACAAAATAAGTAACAAAAGGCTTCAAAATAGTATACAAAAGTGCAGGTAAAAAATCTTCCATACTCTAATACAAAGAAGAACCCAAAAGACCCTTAACCTTCATTGCGACTCCCGTAAAGTGTAAATGACACCACACCACTCCTGCCTGCCAAGCTATACAGATAAATGTAAGTAAAGTGCATCATGAACACTGAAGAATACATTCATTACTATATAATTGGGGCTAAATAACCATAATATCTCCCTAAATGAAGAGTACGACTTTGACACACACACCCCGTAGCTCTCGGACTTGAAATTTATACAGATTATCACATTATATATATATATATATATATATATATATATATATATATATATATATATATATATATACAAACACACACACACTGAAGAAAGTGGAAGCACACAGCTACATATAAGGAACATATAAGGCAAAAAATCTCTCAATCCATCACCAAATGTCCATCACACACACCCGAAACTTTGTAACAGATTCCATCTTGCCAAAACTGCAGGTTCTAATTTAAAGTATAATCGTCCTGCCTCTAAGTCCATACATAAATAACATACCCCAACATCAACATAGTCCTAAATATTTTGAACCTTCGTTCATGGTTCAAACTAAACAACGAAAACATCAACATACACATATGCTCATCAGGTCAAAAATGGTGCCGTGGTGCACTCTGACCAAGTCACTAGAGCAACTCTGTGTTTACAAAAATAACTAAAATGTCATAAAATGTGTAAAGTAAAAAATAACTAAAATGTCTAGTTATGTGTACTACCAATAAGATGACAGTACACATAACTAGCCAATCACAGAGCAGGTTCTATATTCATAAGGAAACAGACCAGAATCTTCCAGAAGCAATTGAAGGTGTCAGGTGACCTGACGTTTGGTGGATCGGACTTGGCCTGTACCCTCAGGCGGTCGGTTCCCAAGGAGAACAGTGACTGAGCACCTCTGCCAAGCCTCTCTCCACTGCAAGAAACTACCTCATAACTACTCAAACCCGAATATTGTCTATTCAATTTAATGATCTTATGTCTCGTAGTAACTTGCAGAAACGACTTACATTGGTCATCATGATGTCGTTGGGATGCTCATATACTGCTTATTTGATGGCAGTAATCATGATCGTCCTAGCTGCACGTAAAAGCAGTTAAGGACCTGTGTACATGAATGCACAAGATGACGAATCCCCTGCATTGATCTTATCGTGTCAAACACATTGCACTCAAGGCAATGTGAATTCCACAACACTCGCCACAATGTTTACCACACCCTGTCCATTCTGTAACCCTCAAATCTCTTCTCGTATTTCTCCACAAAGTTTCTGAAAATTTTAGCAATTTTAACCACTACTTTCTTTTTTCTGAGTATTTCAAACAACACAAGACAACTTCTAGCTCACGAACTCAGTCTGTCATAGCAGAGGAGTGAACATGTCCATATCAGCAACGTATAGTCACTCTGGCAACACTGGAACAAGCCAGTCTCACGGCAACCAATAATCCCACAATTCAAAAACCAAGTAATGAACATTAGCATAGCAACACACGTTTGTCCTCACCGGTAGCTAGCACCTTTCTCCATATTAGCTGGTTTTACACAGTTGATATTAGCTGGGGCAGTAGGCACGATGTGAGTTTTGTTTGGTGTTGAGAACGGTAAGATGTACCTAAGTGCAAGCTTGCTGTTGATAGATAAGAATTTAAGATGTAATGTCTTTGCTCTGTCTATTCTAATATTTATGTCTGCCAATTATTTCGGTGTTGAAGATCAGAATATGTATAGTGATGATATGGTTGTGTATAGACGATTTGTTCTACAAAAAATTTCATTTGGCTTACTACATTTAGCACAAATAAGCAAGAAATAGAACATGTCAAAACCGTAGATGTAATTAGTGTCATAACCAGCATGGACACAATTGCTGCAGAAACCCCAATACAACATGGGCTCTATAAGACCAAAAACTGCTCCCCAGTCACATTAGGAGGAAAACAACAGTGAAAGAACAGGTGATGAGACTTAGAATGGGTGAGGACAGATACACAGAGAATGACAATTAGGTGTGTGAAGAACTCAACAAAATATTCCAGAAGGTCTTCACAGTAGAACGAGATGTTTCTGAATTAAGTGAGGTAGCTATAAACCATGCAGCTTTGGAAGGGTTCGAAATTACCAGAGATGTAGTTAGGAGATATCTGTTGGATCTGGACGTGTGAAAGGTTGTTGGACCTGACGGATTCTCTCAATGGATTGTAAAAGAGAGTGTAGAAGCATCTTGCTGGCCACTCGCTATAGTGCAAGTCACTGGAAACAGGAGACCTGCGCGAAATATGGAAGACAGCTAATGTAGTCCCAATATTAAAAAAACGACATGCAAGAGGCACTGAACTACAGGTCAGTGTCCTTAACCTGTACACCATGCAAGGTGATGGAGAAGATCGTGAGAAAAACCTAGAAACATCTTGAGACAAGGAATTTTATGACTCACCATTAATATGGGTTTGATGGCAAATCTTGCCTCACAGATCTAATAAAATTCTACGACCAGGTTACAAAGATAAAGCACTAATGAGTATGGTGGACAGATGGCATTTTATGGACTGCTGGAGAGCCTTTGACATAGTAACCAATAAGCATGTTCGCCACTGTGTTGGGAGCTACAGCAATTAGTAATCTTCGATGCGCAGTTCCCTGTACCCAATATGGACCAATTACTACATCATAAGTTTAAATATTTCAAACAAATGACTTATGACCGTACTTGTGGTATGAGAGGCATCTGAGGGAACGGAGTAGGACAGGTCGAACCACAAGGTGTTCATGACTGACAGGGAAATGTTTGTGCAGTTTTGATGTACCAAAAAGAATATTAATTAATGGGATGGTTCTACATTCACCATTAACAAGATTAGTTATAGACTCATCACGATGACATGTTGATCAACTAGTTCTGATAGAATCTCCTCTTCATTCTCACCATCCAAGTCCCAGCAGTAGATAAATTATCTGCAGGCCTTCATTATCACATAGATCGGGGCCCCAACATTATAACAACGGAGCTTGTGTTAACAAGATGATTGACATCAGCCATTTTCCTAACATTATCAACAGAACCGAAACATCTATTGATAACATTTCCGATCAAGTAACTTTGTATGGTATAAAAGTTAGAAGACTGGCCTGTAGTTTAGTGCTTCCTGTCTGTCATCCCTTCCTGTGAAATTGGACTACATTAGCCGTCTTTCAAATTGTTGACAGTTCTCCTGTTACCAGTGATTTGTTATACACCATGGAGAATGGCAGGCACAGTACTTCTGCTACTTCTTTGAGTATCCACGGTGAGATACCGTCGGAGCCTATAGGCTTTGGCACATCCAACTCTAGTAAATGCTTCCTTACACCGGTAATCTCAAACTCCTCCAGTGGTTCATGGTTCGATATTAGCTCCCTTATCTCAGGTAGTTTATATGTTTCTATATTGCTGTGATGGGTTTCAGCAGGTGTATAATGTATTCATATAACAATGATTGTGTATGAACGGGTGCAATGTACTCGTGTAGCAGTATTTGGAATGAACTTGTGAATAATGTATTCATATAGCAGTGATTGTATATGAACTGGTGAATAATGTATTCATATAGCAGTGTTTGTATATGAACTGGTGAATAATGTATTCATATAGCAGTGATTGTATGAAGATATAAATAGCAGTGATGGGTATGAACTGGTGTACAATGTATTCTTATTTTGTCATGCTCTAATGCAGAGAGGTTAGCAGATGCATAACTGTACGATTGTAATTGTTAAAATGTTAACCATGGCGGGAACCACTCAGGTGTCGGCCATCTTCCCGGACCTGCCTCCGCTGCTGGAGATTGAGAGGAACGTCAGCCTGGCTCTCCTCAACTCTAACTTCGGCAACCATATTCCTGTGCCCCTCCTGCCCTCCCAGGTGGAGGTGGGCTCCATGCACTGTGTACCTGGAACCTCTCTTCCCCAAGTGAGTTGGCCACACACACACAGTTGACTGGTTTTCTCCAGTTGAGTTGGTAACCCATTGGTTTCCTGCAGATGAGTTGGTGATTGTTCATTGACTTCCCCTGTAAAAGATGGTAGCTATAGATGTTAAGTCCTTCTGGCGTTACAACTGAAACAAATATACCTGATGTTTGTAAGTGGTTCTAGAACCATCAGCCGAGAAAGTTCTTAGTTTATATCCCTTGTTCACTGATAAGCTGTTATGATTGGTGGTGATAAACTGAGAGAGTCATGATATGTCTATTATTATATTAATTATTCTGAAGTCAACAACTCCCTGACTGCACTACCTAAGTACGGAGAATAAAAGTAACTTAACCAATGTGACCGTCTGGCAGAGAGAGGTCGAGCGTCCTCACAGGCCCCGTGACACAGACACATTAGCGGTGGCGGGTGACGTTTGAGCATAACTTATATACATATATATATATATATATATATATATATGTCGTACCTAGTAGCCAGAACTCACTTCTCAGCCTACTATGCAAGGCCCGATTTACCTAATAAGCCAAGTTTTCACGAATTAATTGTTTTTCAACTACCTAACCTACCTAACCTAACCTAACCTAACTTTTTCGGCTACCTAACCAAACCTAACCTATAAAGATAGGTTAGGTTAGGTTAGGTAGGGTTGGTTAGGTTCAGTCATATATCTACGTTAATTTTAACTCCAATAAAAAAAAAATGATTGCATACAGAATGAAATGGGTAGCTTTATCATTTCATAAGAAAAAAATTAGAGAAAATATATTAATTCAGGAAAACTTGGCTTATTAGGCAAATTTGGCCTTGTATAGTAGGCTGAGAAGTGCGTTCTGGCTACTAGGTACGACATATATATATATATATATATATATATATATATATATATATATATATATATATATATATATATGTCGTACCTAGTAGCCAGAACTCACTTCTCAGCCTACTATTCAAGGCCCGATTTGCCTAATAAGCCAAGTTTTCATGAATTAATATATTTTCTCTAATTTTTTTCTTATCAAATGATAAAGCTACCCATTTCATTACGTATGAGGTCAATTTTTTTTTATTGGAGTTAAAATTAACGTAGATATATGACCGAACCTAACCAACCCTACCTAACCTAACCTAACCTATCTTTATAGGTTAGGTTAGGTTAGGTAGCCGAAAAAGTTAGGTTAGGTTAGGTTAGGTAGGTTAGGTAGTCGAAAAACAAGTAATTCATGAAAACTTGGCTTATTAGGCAAATTGGGCCTTGCATAGTAGGCATAGAAGTGCGTTCTGGCTACTAGGTACGACATATATATATATATATATATATATATATATATATATATATATATATATATATATATATATATATATATATATATATATATATATTGTGACGATAATCTCTTTCAAGAGAGATTGAGCCTGCTCTTCCCTACTTCAAGTTGCGCCAAAGATACAAGTATAAGATGCTACATCCAAGATGTAGCCAGCACAAAACCAGTGCTGATGTCACCAGTAGCACAAAACGTTTTGACCAGGAGGCAAAACGTACCCAATTCCCCCCACTCCACACACCCTCCACACGCCGGCTCGTCATCAAACCAGCTAACTACCCTTCACCAGCTTGCCTGCCCCTGATTGGTGACTTGCCAGCCGCACACCTGCACACCGCAATTCAGCGCCCTCTACACGAGTCGACGTCTGAGCCTGACCAGCTATCAACTTCAGAATATTCCTTGTGCTCTTAGCGTTGACATCTCTCTCTGGCATACTAGCTCATTAGCTCGTATACGAAGGGAGGTTTCAGCCATAGCCGATATTCTCAGCACCATTTCAACATTATTTAATCTATTGTGTTTTTTTGTATTTATCTTTGTCATTTTATTTCATTAGTCATTTGCCCAAGATTTGTCTTTATTTTCATTTATGTTTAAAGTATATATATTAAAGTTTCATTGTTCATACTTTGTGTTTTACGTGTTCCTCCCTCTCGCTTACCACAGACAACACGTAAGCAGTCTATATTTTTGTTTTAAGTGTGACCAGGCTTTGACACCTGCCATGGGAGGACTGCCGAACATCAACACTCCAACACTTTCCCGTCACAATATATATAATATATATATATATATATATATATATTTGTGACGGGAAAATGAGTGTAGATGTTCGGCAGTCCTCCTAATGGCTGGTGTCAATGCCTATCACATTAAAGAAAAAAAGATCAACTGCTTGGCTGTTGTCTGTGGTAAAGTAAGGGAATACTCGCAAAACACATGGTATGAATAATGAAACTTTCATTAAATTGAAAGCAAATTAAAAACAAAGACAATTCCTTGGCTATGTACAGTGCAAACAAACAAGTAAAAAAATTAACAAAAATTAAGAACAGGGATGACGTTACTCTATAATATAACGACAAAATGAAATAAGCAGGTGCTGAGAATAAAGAGCTAGCTGAGAAACATCCACCTGATAGACAGAGCGTATATCAGTTAGTTGTTAGATAGTTAGATATTCTAACTTCAATGACTGGTTCAAGCCTAGACATCAACTAAGTAGAGGGCGCTGAGGTGCAGGTGTGCAGTCGGTGGGTCACCAATCAGAAGCAGGCAGGCTGGGAATGGTAGTTTGCTGGTTGATGACCCCTCCCCGCTCAGCTCGTTGTCGCCGTGTGGGGGCTTAGTGGGCGGCTGTCGGAGTGTGATGCTCCTTGGGACAGTCCTCTGTCCTTTTCTAGCCTTGTGCTTCTGCTGCCGTCCTCTCCAATTCTGCTGGGCATCTTTTCCTTTTCCTTCTGTTTCGTTTTTCTCCCCCCTCTCCTCCTATCTGCTTGCCGTTTCCTGCCGACCTTTTGCTCGTTCTAGTTCTTCCCTTGGACTTCTTCTATTTTGATGCCCGGGTGCTTGAGGAGGCATACTCTTGCACCCGTAGAACTGTAGTACCCGACGTCGAGAGCGAGGGGAACCTTTTATTGTCAATCCCCCTTTCGTCACTGAACCCGATCTCGACGGACTGTCGGTTTCTTAAGGTGTCGTTTGTGGGGCGTATACTCACGACGCACCCCTAGGAGGCCCCGGCAAGATCGGCGATATCTTCTTGTTGGGTGTCCTGCCTCTAATAGTGGCTCCATGGTGGGTGTGGGGGCACATTCGTGACTGAATTCTTCTTTTCGTAATGATGATAACCCCTGTTTCGGCTGCTTCTGGTTTACCTTCTCAGGCTCATGGGGTGGGCGACCAAGCCCCCGAGTCGGTCCGTATTGGAAGACCGGGCTCTGTAGCCTCCGCTGCATTGGGCCCCGACCTTGCTCCTCCTTTGGCCTCTCTGACTCCTTCCCCTGGCTCCCCTCCTTTCTCTGTGGTTGGGTCGAGTCCCAAGCCCCCAGTGGTGACTACCTCGTCCCCTGGCGCGACTCCTTCTCTAGTTGTAACTGCTGCGCCTTTTAACCCCTCTCTCTCTGGGGGTTCTCACCGCCGTCCTCGTCACGGCCGCCCTCGCTCGATTCCTTCCAGTTCTGCTACCTATCAAGCCTTGTTTGGTCCTGCTTCGTGGGCAACTCCCTCAACTTGAAGCACCGGGAGCGTTTATCTTTTCCTGAGGCGAGACGCCAGGTTCGCTGGCTCCCGCCTTATGCTAATATCTCTTATGCTCGCGTGTTGCGCTGTTCCTCTCCTCGTCCTTCCCGCCTTCCTCAGACTCACAACCGTTTCCGGGCCTTGGACCCTGATGCGCCCACTGCCCCCTCCTCTGTTCCTTTGGGTTCTCTCCCGAAGGATCCTCCTCCTAGTCCTCTGTCTGGGGTTCCCCTTCCTTCTACCCGGTCTGTCGTGTCTCCTGTGTCTTCTTCCTCGTCTCCCTCCGTTCCTCCTTCCCATCCTTCCCCTCCGTCTCTTGACTCTCCCCGCCGCCTGTCGGTGCGGGCTGATGTCCATCGCTCTCCAAACGGCCGTCAGGTGTGCTCTCGTTCAGCTTCTCCTGTTGAGACGCTAGAATCCGTTGCCCAGTACGTGGTTGCTGGAACACCTGTCTCTTTACGTCAGAAGCGTAAACCTGGCTCCACTTCTTCCTCCTCCCCGGCGGGTAAGAAGGTTTCGCTTTCTTCCTCGGCCCCTACTTCTGCCTCTCTCGCTCCTTCCCCTCCCATTTCGGTGGTTGCGCCCCCTGTTCCTGCTATGGAGGTTTCTTTAGCCCCCGCTTCCCTCTCAGTTGCTGCCGTTGCTGAGGTACGCTCCCCCCTTTCTACCCCTCCTCTTCCTGCTGCTGTCCTTGCCTGCTCCTCTCCGTTGTCTCCTCCTCTTCCTCCTCCTCCTCCTCCTCCGGACCCTGCCCGCCCACCTCTGATCTGTTCTCCCGTTTCCTTCCCTCCGTCTTTGCTCAGTTTACCCATGCCCCCTAACCCTGACTTTGCTGACCCTGATATTCTTTAACGTGCTCTGTTGCTCTTTCGCCTTTGTCTCTTCCTTGTTCTCTGTTTTTGTCCTTTCTCTTCTCGTCGTTGTCCATTCTTCAATGGAACGTTCGAGGTTATTACGCTAATTTCCTCGAACTCCAACTTCTGATTTCGCGGTTTTCGCCCCTTTGTGTCTGTCTCCAGGAGCCGATGCTTGGTGCTCGTCCTGGTCGTTTTCGTGGCTATTCCTTTCTCTCCCCCCCCCCCCCCCAGCTGTTGCTGGGGCTTCTAATTCTTCTGCTCTTTTGATTCGTGCTGATGTTCCCTTTGTTCTTTTACTTTTTCCTTCACCTCTCCATTGTTCTGCTGCTCGTGTCTTTGTGGGGAAATGGTACATTGTTTGTTCCATTTATCTCCCCCCGAGTGTCCCGCTTTCACTTCCTGATTTGAAACACCTCCTAGACTCCTTGCCGGAGCCTGTGCTCCTGCTGGGTGACTTCAATTGTCGTCATTCTCTTTGGGGTGACGTTCTGATGAATACCCGGGGACGCCTTCTTGAGCCATTTCTCCTCTCTTCTTCCCTGTCT